AGAAATTGAAATTTTTGAAGAGATATCAAAACTTTAAGTCGCTAACCTTTTTTTTTGTATACGGTGATTTGTAAATTTATTCCTATGACGCATATCTACTTTCAAATATAGTTTATTCATAACGAGTGTTCGTAAAATAGATCCACACAATATTCACAGGAATCAAATTTAAAGAAAGTGTAAACATCTCAAAATCAATTAAAGATGTAAATCATCGGCTTCTCCATGACATGTTGCATCATCCTTTACCATCATCTACGCCCGAAGAAAAATTCATTCAACCTGTAGGAAGGAAATTAACTCATGAGTTTAAAACTCAATAGATATTATCGATGCAATTCATTATCAAATTAGAAATTTCGAACTATAGATTCATACCATCGCACGTAGATGGATTTTCGGCAAAATTCAATTACTATAGCATTATCATAACACATAGAGCCGGAGAATGATCATTCAAACTGTTGTAGTGCCGAAACACCGTACCCAAAGGTACCATTTCATTTAAACATTTATTGAAAAATCAGATTTGAAAACGAATGAACACTTGCACCTATACATACCTTAAATTTTCTTGAATAAAAGAACAAAATGTATAGAAAGTCTTCATTCTTCTCACCCTTGTTATTCCTTAAACTTAACTTAATATGAAATATATTTTTTTTAAGCGAAAATGAGATGAAATTCAGATTTGAAGAGGAGTGTAGTGAAAAAATGACCTTCTACTTCTATAACCTTTCTTTTTAATGAAAAATTAAGTGAGGGAGTTGTATTATCATTAAATTTAGTCTTTAACTAAGAATTTGAAGAGTCTCTAAGCAATAAAAATAATTCATATGAAAGTTTTATAAAAAAAACATTTACATGGTGATTCGAACATGAGTTGCCTATATGAAATACAATGTAGATGACTATTGTGGCAACCCAGTTATTCATTAAATCTTTGTAATCAATTTTACTTAAATTTAATCTCTTAAATTGCTGGGCTTTTAATTAACTTATGACTTGGGCTTTCGTAATCTTACATGGGTTGAGCTTCAATAGGTCATTTCTAAAATGGGTTAGGCTCGTGGTGCTAGATCATCACAAAATATTAGCATAATTCCATTTTATTTTTTCTCGACTACTACATTACATATTTCTCCCTAGTCAATCATCGTTTTTTCTTTTACTTTTATTCTTGTGCTCATATTTTATTTCATCAGGCATCAATCTTACAAACTGTTTTCCCCAGTCTGAATCTTGTCTGTAATTCAATTAATTTCGTGTATGTAATATCATGCGACATCAAACTTTTGTGATTTTTGAAAATGACGAATAAAAAAAAATTTCCCAAGAGTCTTCTCGTCGAGACGAATTATTTATAACAAAGCCAAATTTCATGAAGCTACAATAGTGATTTTACTCTACCTTCAACAATTTTTCAACGTCGACAACAAAATGGTATTTGAACATCAGATTTCGTAAGATGATCCCTCGTTATATTGATATAATCACTGGGAATGATCTCTACCCAGTGATATGTCGTAATAAATGTAATTGAACTAAAATGAGGTTCCTGAGGGCATCTAGTTGCCTTCTTCCTACTTGCATTGGAGGAATCTTACAAATAACAAGAAGTAAAAAGTTAGGACGATTGAAAGCTAGCATGTGGAGAGCTTTTTCTAGTCACAATTGCGTAATTGGCTCCGATTTTTAGTGTGAGTTTAATGCTTGTGATTGTGACAAAACAAGATTTTATAAGCTTCACTTCAGGGTATAAGTTAACTGTATCAGAATACAATATTATCACAATGCACACTCACCCTAAGCCCGAGCAAATTACTGTACCTGCAGATTCTATCAAACTGCAACATAAGATACTTTTAACTGCAAATCGTGCTTTTTAATCTCCCTTCTGAGAATTTCATAGGTAAAAAAAAACACTAATGTGTCTTTTGCACCCTATCCAAAAGGATTGAGTGCGCGCGCTCTATTTCTAGAGATTCGATCATTTGTTCCATTTCTGTATCTTCTATATGAGATAAAAGTCAGAGATTAGCATGGGAATAACAAAAGCCCACTATATAACAACCATGTATATTAAAGGTCTTACATGTTTGTCATGATTTGAGGTTGAAGGTGAGTGATTTGCGTGATGATTTGAAGTTTCTTGTAATTACAATTTGGAGATTTCGGTTTCGTTTAGAAATGATACGCAGAAAAACTGAATGAAGAACACTTTTTGAAATATCAACTACAAGTCTAGTGAAATGGGTGTTGAATGTGAGTGATCTTTGTGATAATTTGGGATTTTCTTGAATCTAAGATTTGGGGTTTTGACTTTTAACAATTTGGTTAACAACATAGAAATTGAGGTTTTTGAGGTAATGGGCTGCAATTACAGGATTTCTTTAGTGGAAATTACATAAAACCATACTTTAACTATTCAACCTTCTAAAATCAGATTCAAGGTTTCATATTTCAATAATTAGAAATATTATTTTAATCAATATTTTATAAAATAAATATTTTACTAATATACTCAATTATATACACATTACAAACCCTAATAATCTTTATAAACACTTCACTCCCTCTCTACCCAGAGCTGCCGTATGTGTGTGCCTCTCTCTCTCTCTCTACATCAACGGTTCTGTCAGCTCTCCGGTGATGGACCAATCCAGTCTCGTCGCGATGTGAAGATGTGGTTGGTGTAGGTCCCTCGCCCGGCAGCTGAAGCAATCTGGCAGCGATGTGAAGAGGCGGCTCGATTCGTTGCGATGTGAAGTAGTGGAGGTGCTACGGGGTTGATTGCACGACGGTGGTGAATTTGGAAGGGCAACGATGTGAAACACTAGTTTGTAACTGCTTCGATTCTGTGGAGTGGGACAATGCAATGGTTTCGTTGGGGGTGGTGGCGGTATAGTGTGGATTGTGGTGGTAATAGGGTACTGCCGTACTGGATTGTTGTAGGTGCGACGGTGATGTGGTGATGAGCGGTGGTGGTGGAGGCGTGTGGTTCTGTGGTGGGGACGGTGGTTGAGTGGATTGGGGGGAATGATTCTGTGGGAACAGTTTTGTGGTGGCTTTGCCTTGATGGCAAGATGGTGGTGGTGATGGTTGAGGTGCTGCGACGGTGACAGTGGTGTTGGTGTGGTTGTGGTTGTGGCGGTGGTGGTCAGGATGGTGCTGTAGAGGTAGCGGAGGTTTGGTGGTTGTCACAGATTATTTGATTGATTGTGACTATTAAATTGATTAATTCGTGACTAATAAACAATATGTGACTACCAAAAAGATAAATTGTGACCAAGAATAGTGTGTGGCCTAAAAAAATAATAATTCGTGACCTATAATAGTTGTGATTCGTGACTTGTAAATAACTTGTAACGTATAAATTTTCTATCTGTGACAAATAAATCGTGACTTACATTTTTGAATTGTGACCATAAACAGAATTTGTGACCTTAAATTTTTTGATTTGTGATCGAAAAGCAAGTTGTGACCAATAATTTGATAAGTTGTGACTAAAAATTAATTCGTGACTAATTAACTTTTTTTATTTGTGATCGATGAACAAACTATGACTTACAAATTTTTTGAATTGTGATCGTAAAATAATTTGTGACATAAAATTTTTTATTTGTGACAAAAAAACACAATTAAATTATTGGTTACATATTATCAAATTATTTAATCACAAATTATTTCGAGATCACAAATAAAAAATTTAATAGGTCATCGTTTATTTTATTGGTAACAAATAAAAAAATTATAGGTAACAATCTAGTCATCAGATGCAAATTTTTAAATTTGTAGATCACAATTTATTTTTCGATCACAGATTATCAAATTTTAAAATCACGGTTTAATATTTGATCACAGATAATCAAATAAGTGATCACATACACCAAATATTGGGTCACATACTATCGTTACTTGCGACAGCCCTCACCTTGTAACTGCCGCCAGCACCACAACACCACTACGACGCACCGCCACCATCACCATCAATCGTCGTCGCTGCCACCATATAAAATTACAAAAATAAAATACCTCCGCTCCCTGCAATACCACAAAACAAAACCACTACCATCATCGTTTACTCCACACCACCAACAAAAATCACCACCGTTGCTTGCACACCAACACCACCACTAAAAAACACCCATATCCCACGCCATCCCATCCACGACCACCATTGCCACTTCCATGACCACCTTACCACCGACAACCAATATCACAACCACCATCACCCCAAAACCAACAACAAATTGGATCTCGTTACCATCACACCCACTATAGCCATCGCCAAGATCTGAAAATATAATTAACAAAATTCCAAAAATCGTTAACTACAGATCAAAAAAGAGAAAGAGATAATACCCAAAACAAATCCCCTCCCCACACCGGCACCAGTCGCCGTTCAAACTTGCAAGCACTATATACTTTTGCCGTCGATTTTCACCAATCACCATTCTTGTAATTTCTTCTTTCTTCATTTATTTTGTTGTAAATAGGGCTTGTTTACTGGGTTGGTATTTGCTGTCGAATAAGCTATTAAATGTGTTAGAAGTGCTTATTGTTTTTATTTTTTACTTTAAAAAATCCAGTATAAATGGTTAAAAAAAAATTATGTAAGTAGAGTACGATATATTATGAAAATAAAGTTATTACATGTAATTTCCTTTACTCGAGTCTAGGTTTATAACCTCATGGGACTTCTCTCTTTTTTTATATGTAGGCTTATAATCTTTTCGGGCCCAATTATGAAATAATTATCACAGAATAATTAGTAAATGTTGAAAACTTAAAATACTTTTAAATTTAAAATTATTTTTCCCAAAAATTAAATATTTAAATAGTAATTTATTTAAAATACTATATGTAATTTATAATTTTTTATTTATTTAACTAATTTAATTTCTGTATGACCCTCTCCTTTTTCCGGGTCCAACATTGAAAAAACGTAGAAACTGTATAGTCCGTGGTCGACTGGATTGTCCACACGTTTTTCCTATTCCAACAAGAATCGCTGGGACAACTGTAAAGTCGCACTTACTAAGAAGTGAAAGGGTGAAAACCCTTTCTTAGGCTATGTGCAAAGCGTAAACCAGACGCGCTCACATTTTTCTGCTTCAAAGCTCAATCGAAGGTCTCTTTATATCACATAATAATTTATTGATTCTGTCTTTTGTACTATTGAAGCTAAATTCACGGCAATGTTATTGTATTTATTGTTTTGTGTTTATAGATAGGTGAAATGTCGAAAAGGGGAAAGAAGAGGGACGAGGAGGAGGCACTTTCTGAAGGAGAGGAGCCTCCAAAGAAGTCATCGAAGCCCTCAGCCTCTGCGGTTGATAACGATTCTGATGAATCTGACAATATAGTCGTCTGCGAGGTATGAATGCTTGTTCTGTGTGATTCTTTCTGTAAATATTGTATTTCAAGGGTTTTTATTTTGAATTTTTTTGTTTATTTGAAATTACAGCTTTCCAAGAATCGAAAAGTGTCGGTGAGAAACTGGAATGGGAAGGTTGTGGTGGATATTAGAGAGTTCTATTATAAAGACGGCAAGGAAATGCCTGGGAAAAAAGGTTTCTTTTTTCTCTTCCTTTAATAAACAAGTAAACAAAACTCAAATTAACTGTATCTTGTGTTATTTATCTGATTTTTTTAGTTTGATTTGTTGTCAAATGTTTTTCCAGTGAGGTTGAATGTGATGATTGATTATCTGGATTTTACTTTTTCCCCTCAAAACAAGAAGATAAACCATGTCGTCATCATCTTCTTCACCATTACTGTTGTCTATCATAATTTAATTGTTATTATAATTATTTAATTTGCTTGGTTTATTGTATGGGGGAGGTTTTTCCTAATAATGCTGAGACTTGGATGGCTCATACTTCATTTTCTTGAGAACAAATGGTGCTTTTGGGTATATACCAGTCAAAAAAGGGAACCTGTAAAGTCAGAACATAAAAACTAACAATCTTTTGAATTTACATAAGGTCATGGAAGTATTTATTAATGTAGGTTGGAAAAAAATTAAAAAAAATAAAAATAAAAAAATCCTTTTACTCATAACCATTAACCATGATATGAAACTGTGTTTGGTCCTCGACAATTTGATACTCATTTTGTAACCTACAAGAGAACCCATAGAGAATGGTGGAAGAATGGGTGATGCTACCTTTATTATTGTGGAATTGGGGCCTCAGAACTAGATTTCAGAGCCATTATCCTTGAATTTGAATTTCAAGGGCCCAAATTTCATGCCACCAAACATAGTGCAAATGATATTCTTAACTTAAAAGAAAAGGAGACAAAGTAAGCTACCTGATGAAATTTTGGCAAGTGTTCATAAACAGGTTATAAACGATAAGGGTCAAACCAATTTTATCCACACATTTCATGGGATTCACAAATACTATCTATTTACAAACAAAACTGTTTATAGACACTTCCCCAAAAGCTCTAAGATAAGATTCTCTTAGAAGGTTGTCTTTGTTAACTTCTACTACTGGCCTCTTATGTTGATTGGGTGGGTATAGGGCTGCCCCAGCTGGCTCTGCTTCACTGGATCAAGGATTACTATCTGGTTTAATTGCTTAGATCATGCTGGACCTTTAAGCTTTTCTTACTAGAACTTGCAATTTTCAAATTTAAAAAATGCTGCCTCCTCTTCACTCAGTCCATCCAAATTATCAGAATACAAGTAATATGACTAGTGCCTCAAAAACTCTTGGAGAACTTACTGCATCTTCTCACTTTTCCTTCACCAATCCATGGTTCTTTGCTAGTTGCTTCTTCCAAAATTTTCCAAATATGTGCAAACTTAACGAAAAATCAGCATCCAATATCTTTCCTTCTACCCCTCCCTCCCAACTTGATTTACCCATCTCCCTTTTGGGAGGTCGAATTTGATAGCACTTCTGAAATACTGCCCTGTTAACTTCATATATATCTGTCCTAGTTATTATTTAAGCTATGAAATCTGTGGACTTTCAGCTTCATTACCTGGTAACTGAATAAACCACAGTAACTGAATAAACCACAAGATTGCAAGTAAACATTCGCATGTATGACTATGCAAATCAATTTTCTCTTCCATCTTATTAAGAAGAGATTTTTTTTTTATTTTTTTTTTATTTTCCCCCCTTCTTTTTCATTGATATACTTTAATAATTTTGAGATCGGTGGAAATAAGAGTAGTCGTTTTATATGTTCTAATAATGGTGCGTGGCTTTTACCTTTCTCCCTTTAGAGGTGGAGGGTGAGGACAAACTGTTTAACTGTATATCATAGAGCAAGATTGACTTAAATAATTTGGCCCAAAACCCATGGGCTATTTTGCACTTTAATGAATTTTGAAGTTTTGCCTACTATGAATATTGATTCTAATACATCATGTGACCTAGTTGGTTTTTTCTTTGGTTTTATTTTTCTTTATTTGTCACGAAGGAAGATTTTTCATTGAACTAGTGATTCTTAAGTGCTGATATTATTTCAATATCTGTATGACTATTTCCTGGTCACAACTGGAGTTGCACTTTTTTAAGTTGCAAGGTCATTTATTACGATCATTAAAATCAAATTAATATCTTATGATCATTAATAGAGGCAAATTCATAATACTTTTGGCACTTTGTTCAGGTATTTCGCTAACCATGGATCAGGTATGCTCCAGTCATGATCCCCCCCCCCCCACCCCACACACACAAAGAAAAAAAGTAATAATAAAAGGCAGAAAATTTCCCCGACTTTTTCTATCTTGTGATCTTAAGGTTACAATGCCTCTTTATTTATCTTTCATATGCAGTGGAAGATACTTAGAGATCATGCAGACGAAATTGACCAGGAGGTTGCTGAGGGTTAGAAAGTTGTTTGGAGTCTGGCTCTATGTTTTTGGTATTAGCAAGGAAACCATCAAGAAAGCTCACTTAGAACGATGTAACTAATGAAAAAGTTAAAATGATCCTATTTTGTCAATTATCTTCTCATGTACTTGGACCGTATTTAGGAAAGTAGTTTAGGGCTTACTGGCGGCACCTGGCCCCGTGCTGAGTACTTTTGTGTTGATATCTCAGTACTTTTGTGTTGATATCAGTTGGAATGCAGTTAATTATTATGAATGCTTTAAACTATTTTGCTCTAATTACTTGAATTATCCTGGGATGAAACCTTGCTGCACACCAATTGGATGTTTTTAACTTATGCAGATTCCAGCTTGACGACTCTCTGATTACCCATCTGCATTGGTTATGGTTTAATGTCACTTCACGCTGTAAAGTAGAATGATGAATCCCTTTTGGAAGAGAAGTGTTCCCATGACTGTTGCTGATTTCTGAATCTCGTCGATTTTCAAGGGGTAAATATGGCTGAATTTCATAATCAGGTTTTGGCATTCGTAATTTTACATCTGGTAGAAATGTTTAGATATCAAATTTGATGAAAGCTGCACTTTCAAGAAGTGAGTCATTAATTTTACGCGGTAACGAGTGTAAATCCATGCAGTGCAACTTTTCTCATCCAATTTTATTTCTGAGGCAAACAATGTGGCTGTCTAGTTGAGCAGAATTCTCAAATGACGCTGAGGCAATTTCATCCTCTTGTGGAATAATTCTCCCAGGACAGCTCTCCCTTCGCATTCTATGGACAAACAATGTAATAAAACGAGGGGGCATCATATTCTGGCTAAATATTTCGATCCATACGTGCAAGAATACATGCGAACAATATGCTTTCTAAACTGGAACAAGAAACCAAACCCGATCCTAATCTTACCCAACAACTGGTTTATTAGACTTGGGCACTCATGGAATATCAGCACGAATTCACACCTTATAACTCAGTTTTAAAAGAATTGCTTGTGATATAATTATTGTAGCAATCATGAGGCAGGCACAATTCAACGCTGATAAATCAAGAAATAAACTATCATCTTCTGGAAATTTTGATCAATTTCGCTGCGTTTCAAGGGATCTTGGGTGGGTCATTTCCCATGTTCACACGAACTCCACAGGCAGAAATCGAACTTGTACTGATTTGGACACTTTAGTACTGTGTACAATTGATCTCGTATTTATGCCCATGTCGTGTCTGAAGCTGATCACAGTCAATGAAAGCAACTTTAGCAGAAAATCAATTTTATAATTCTCCATTTAATCATCGACTGAGCATCTTACGCGCTCAGCATTTGCTGAAGATTGCAGAGTATGTTGCGGTTCCAAAAGAATTTTCGATTGTACTGCATGTACATAATAGTTTGCATACAATAATTGGACAGAATTCCTTCAACCCAAAAAAAAAAAAAAAAAAAAAAAAAAAAAAAAAAAAAAAAAAAAAAAAAAAACTATAACTCTTTCTAACATTTCAGCTTAAACTATTATTTACAAGTAGCAATATTCAAGATAAATCAATTTTGTTCATATTTTAAGAGACTTTCTGTGGGTCACGTCTCATGTTCAAACTTCACACGAGATTCGATTATTGAAATATAAGATCCAGCAAAAACAATCTATACATCATATTCCTAGTCTGTAACAGTAAATAAACTCCAAAAGGTATCATCCATGAAGTCAATGACAAGTGTTTCCTGAATATATTTACCGTTCTTGTTTGTTATTTTATATGGTTACATCATGTGCTACAAGTCGTAGCTTGCCATGACTAAGTTTTGTGCATAGTCGAAGTGTCACAAAAGAAAATATAAACTGCATTTATAAATTAACGAACAGCTCAATTTTATGCTTAAAAGCACAATACTTACATGTTTGGCATAAAAGTCTGATCCTGCCATTGAGCAGTAGAAGAAAATGTTCGTCTCATCGTGCTTTGCTAGAATAGAAAATCAATTCCGACATTCCAAAAAAGATTAAAAATACTAATGACTAATGATATTATTCTTCACAATACAAGATTTTTTGTAAATTGTAATACCTCCTACATGACAATTGCACTATGCAGCAGGGACACTGAGGGAACCAATTCCTAGCACTCTAGATAGTGTCTGCATCACCGGGTGATCCAAGTATCAGGAAATGCTATAATGTCGGTAACTTCAACAGCATATGATAATCGATAACTATACCTCGCCAATTCGAGCATTAATTTTCAAAGGTACAAAATCATCAGCTCTTGTCACGCCTACATTTACAATTGCAGTAGCAGCACCAGCCTCATGAGCCGCTCTGCATGAATCAGTTTTAATTATTAATGTTTTTAAACATCATAAAATTCAATTGCAACAATTATTCCAAGTTCAACCAACTGAATTCAATTTTACAGGACAGAGTTATTGAATCACCAAATCGGTTGTCATCTACTTGGTTAAGTATTTTAAGGTAATCATTTTTGGCTTAGTAATTATGGTAACATGCATTTTAATTCACTGTCTATAACACAACTGCATCGCATACATCAACTAAGACACTCACAGATGCTAGGGCAGCATGTTCTGCCATTAGCAAACTGAAAGTTAAAACAAATTAATTGGAGTTTTTAGACAAATCTGTCACTCACTCACTCACAGATAAACACGCTCCATCTAGTTTAAAAGATCACCAGTTGATCAGAGGTTCTGGTCAACAGTCATCCTCATATTCTTTTGTCAACAAAAAGAGAAAAATTGACATGTAGTCCAGTGTCTTCTCTAATTTTTTTCTGTTAAACATAATAGAAAATAATGGCAGTTTAATCTATGCTAGAACTACAATTGCCTCGATATAAATGAGCAATTTGAATTCACCTGACAAGTCGAAAATAATGGCAGTTTAATCTATGCTAGAAACTACAATTGATATAAATGAGCAATTTGAATGCACCTGACAAGTCGGAAAGCAGACATGGTCATCAAAGACGAACCAAGGACAAGGAAAGCATCACATTCCTTCACAGCTGCCATTGCTCTATCAGCTCTATCCTTGGGGACATTATCGCCAAAGAAGACAACCTGCAAAGGTATAAAATACATCAGAGATCAATTGTCCAATAGAAATGCAACCAGATTTTATATCTAGCCAAAATCATTCAATATATCGGTCTTGGACAGATGCCCCTCTACCTTTGTGTAAATAACATCCTGAAAAATCAGGCCTGATATCAGAAATATTGGTGAGATTTTGGTGTCAAATATCATTCCTAACAGGCTAATTCTCTGGCTTCTGTCATGAAAAATTAGCAACTTTTCACTGAAAAGAAGACCATGATTATTTGTTCTCTTAGTGACCGTCTAACAGTGATATTCCACAGACTTTTGAAAAGCCAAACTCTATTTTTATTTAAATAACATTCTCTAAAAGTTAACACTCATAAATATTAACACTATAGCCTTGTTTTCAACCGTTAATATTCAAAAGACTGACCTGTTTTAGCACTGTCTCGACTAAACGGAATGCAAAATAGTCTAGTGTAACTCCACAAGTCAAAGAATTTGACAATCAGATACTAAGTGAAAGTATAAAACATAAAAATGAATCCACTGATTGGAATGATCATGACTGCGAAACGAGAATTATGAATTATCTTGCCAAACAATATCATGTCAGTTAAAAGAATGATGCAAATGGTCAATATCTAAAACATATTTGATGAGAGATGAAGAATCTTTATATCATCCTATAGTACCTCTGTAAATTGTTAAAGTTGAACAAAGAAGTCAAAACATGTCAACAGTAATCATTGACCCTTCAAATATGCATGTGTTTTGCACCAACTTATATGAATAAATGGATCAAAATCACCATTCTGCAAGGAAACATACATTCTCCAAGAAGCACGCAGAAGGAAACATCTGAAACAGAATTTTTTTTTGCTTACATCAGGTTTCAGTATACCGTCGCATCTCTGACAATTAGGAATATAGAACTCCTCCTCCCAGAAATTCTCATCAATTTCAATATCTCCATCAGGCCTTTGCTTCATTCCAAAGCTCTTGTCAGAGTGACTATCGTAATCTAAACTTTCAATTGCTTCGGCCCACTGGAAAACACAAAAGGCGTGAGCTTGAATATAGTCTATCATAGAAAATGAGATAACAATAGTTACAAGATTGGCACTTGAGAACCTATAAGTTGGACTAAACAAATATAGAGCTCAATGACAAATCTTTTAAACGGGATCATTAGATTCTGAGATTTCGTTTAGAAGAAGATTGTGTTATAATTTTTTTCCCATGATGCCAGGAGGCAAACCTAATTAACAGACATTAGGCACTGAAACATGAAATTATTTTCCACTTTCATATTTATTTACTACACGCACATGGATATATTAGGCTATAGAGCGGTATTCTGATGAAGAGAACTTCTTCAAACAAACTGACGAAATTGAGGCTAAGAAAGAAAAGAATGGCTAATAAATGTTCTTATTGAGCCTGTTCTCTAAAACACGGTTGCTAGTTATCAAAGTAAAACAAATACTCTGGAAGTCTTACTATGGAAAATACAGGATTCCATGCAAAAGTGTGCAACACTTAAACATATAAAGCATCAAATCTCCACTGACATTAAAGTTAAACCTTTTCGTTTTGTCCTTTACGCAATAGCTAATACAAACTAATATATTTGAAGCACCAAGCAGAATGAATGCAGTCATTTACAGTCAAAATAAAGAGGCATAGTCACAATCCTGGCTTATGAAGAAATAGAGAGCTTAAGAAAGGTAGAAGTTCAGTAGCATATAGATAGACGGGATTTTAATTCCTAATATATGAGTTCGAGACAGGCAATTGTATCCCCCGCAATATTTAGGGAAGTTAGATGCTTAGAAAAACTTTCCATTCCACATCTATTAAAAAATTTCATTGATGGGTGTACTTTGAATCAAGGTGTAAGAAAATCTATATTCCTCTCCTATTTTTTATAACATAAATGATGAGATCAGATAGTAATTTGATTTTTCTCGAGATCTCCAAATTATATTAATGAAAATATCTATTAGTACCCCTAAATACATCATTTACTGGTTATAACAACTAAAGTAGAGAAATTAATTTGATCTTAGGACATTTTTGATTCAGTGACAGCAACTGCATGCTTGGTTGGTTACTTGTCATAAGCATATGTGAATTGAAGGAATTTCATCTGATTGGTATCAGATCTGATTTCATATATTTACAAACAAAATCGATTCATAGAGCAATAGAGAAACAGCAGACATCTCTCTATAAACCCCTATCATCACCTCTATTGGGAAGAATAAAAATTGAAGAAGGGATATCTTGAGCATATGGATGTTCCTTGACAGAAATCCCGGTGGAAATGAGCAATGAAAATAAAATCTCTCAGTTCCTAATTTTTCTAATTACTTACAGATCCTTTTAATTGATCTTCTCTGATGTCAAAACCATAAATCATGAAAACTAATTTAGAAATTAAACAAAATCATAGAATTTCCCCCATAATTTTATGGAACGAAATCCATGCATATTGCAAGATCTGGTGAGGAGGATGCAATCTTTTACTAAAGTTGTTCTATAAATCCAATAAGATTATGAAATCAGCATCCTCATGAAACTCAAACTGATAACTTCATCCAAACTGACAAAAATAAAAAGTAAAATAGGACTTGAATTTCAAACAAACGAGAGAACTTAACAGAATTGCTTCTGTGAAACAATAACTCGTGTACCAAAAGACTAACCTTCGGATTAAGAGCCTTCACTTGGTCTTGAAATGAATTTCGAGGGAGAGGCAAACCGCAATCTGTACAAGCAACAATATATACAGTCCCGTGTAACTCAAGTGGGTTGCTGCCAGCGCGATGATGTAGTCTGTAAAAAGAAAATGCTATTCTAGATTTCTAGTACAGCTAGCTTAAGAATTTCGCAAACAAAATTTATGTATTTAAGGGCCGCTCACCTGTCTACATTTTGTGTAATCATGAAATTTATGCGGCCTGCTTTTTCAAGAGATGCTACTGCAATATGACCAGTCCCTGGTTGTGCAGCAGTAAAACGTCTCCATCCAGCATAGCTCCTTGTCCAATACCGTCGGCGGGCCCGAGTGGAACGCATAAATTGCTGCACGTTGATAATAGTGCCCATGTAATTATAAATTTGAATTATCCACAAGAAAACAATTGCAGGTACAAAAAAGAAAATATTAAGCTCTACTATTAACGGGTCTCTCTTCCAACCTTATAGTTGATGAAAGATAACGGACAACATGCCATCATTGACGACAACCCACACAAATAAACAAATAAACTTAACCAACATAAAATCAAAATTCTTGACTTCTGAAAAAGAAGGTATTTTAAATTGCTATTTTCCAGCATCAAAGTTGAAAGACGGCATGCATAAACGACTTCTCAATCTGTCACTTCTATACTATAAAAATTGATGCAGCCTACAGACTGTTATTCAACTCACTCATGAGCATCTTCAAAGTTTCTTATAACATGATTTAACCGTCAAATTTGTTCCTCTAAATCGGTTAAATGTATCTGAGACTTCTTTCGTTAGTCCAATACTCGTGTTCCATAAAAGTACACATGCCTTTTTACGGCTTTAGGTGAATGAAGTTCGCAAAATCTTCATTATTTCATTTTTTCCACAAGAGAACCCAAATCATGTGTCTCAATTAAATTGTTGTATATAGTGAAATAATTCTCATAAATCTTCTCCTACAGTGGTTGTCTCCCCAACTTGCATTCTAAAGAGAAGGAGATTGGGGGAAGTCACTGACGAGAATGAAAGATCAAAATGAAGGAAGCAATAATTAAAGTGCATGCCTTCTGATCACCTGATGAGTAATTGGTTTGAAACCAGTACTGTAAGCTCCATTTGGGCTGCCAAGATGAGAAACAGATTAAGAACATTAATGATTACCCTTCTAAATTCTGTGAATTTTTTATTCTTTCATTATTTTTTTTCACAACCATGATAAAATTGCAATTACCATGTTATGGTCCACATTCTAATAACAATTCTTTAAACAAGTGCTAAACAGTTAGTTACTATATATTAGGCAAAGGAAAAAACCCAATGGCTACTTCAAAGATAATATCATTTAATAAGCAAAGAACTTCTGAAGTGACTGTAAGAATCCTTAATAAACAAGAAGTAAGTTTAAGAGTAACACCATAAAGCAAGACAAGGAGAACTTTCTGTACTTCATAATATTTGATTACAGATGTTCATAAAACTGCGGAAGTGGATGACATTCAAATATGATTGTGTGATAGAATACTGACAAAACAACCACTCAAATATCATTAAAACTTTCTGTGAGGTTCATATTAAAGAAGGTAGAGCAACATCAAGAAGGTGAAACTATTCCATTCCTGCCACACTTATGTATATCTTTAAGTTGAGAAAATTAACCTTCGATAATCAGGAATTCCACTTTCTGTGCTAATCCCAGCTCCAGTCAAAACAACAAGCTTTGAACTGCAAAATGATTCAACAAAAATCGGTCAGAGATTTGTAGAACATCAATGACCATTTTTCTTTCAATCACAAGAACATTAATAACAAGATAATAAAAATTAAGCATAATAATTACATGACCAAAATCTCATCTGAGTTTCACAACCTGACATATCAGCATGTAACTTTTAGGATGATAGATCAATAAGACATGAACATATGAAATGTTATTTTGGGGACTCTTTCATCTTCAACAGTTAGATCAATCAATCTCTTGAGAATTCAGAAAACAAGAGAAATCACAAGATGATTTAGCATATCACCTCTAATCCAACAATTAGCACACAACAAAGTCAACACTCTTTACATACTAATGCCACTGTCTGAATATCCACAAGATTTTCCACTCGTCTACAGATTATATGAACTGACTTTAAACTGATTATCATTATTTATGGACAATTAGTATTATGAACACATCCAGCAATGACAGGTCACGATTGACTTCGAGGATAGCTAGCTAAAAAGGAAAAAGCAACATTCAACATTCTTAAATTACTTGGTGAGGTAGAAAAGTGATGCAATTGATTTAAATAAGCCAATTATCAAATCTTTAAATTCTCAGAAAAAGAGAAAACACAAAATTCTCATCAATTTCTATATCACATCATTGTCTATCATGGAAACATAGTTTAACAGAACATAAACCTTGATGATTAAAGTGCACTGGACCAATAGTTGTTTATGGACAATCAGTATTATGAACACATCGGGCAATGACAGGTCACGATTGACTTCGAGGATAACTAGCTAAAAAGGAGAAAGCAACATTCTTAAATTACTTGGTGAGATAGAAAGTGATGCAGTTGATTTAAATAATCCCATTATCGAATCTTTAAATTCTCAGAAAAAGAGAAAACACAAAGATTCTCATCAATTTCTGTATCACATCACTGTCTATCATGGAAACATGGTTTAACAGAACATAACTCTTGATGATTAAAGTGCACTGGACCAATAATTGTTTATGGACAATCAGTATTATGAACACATCGGGCAATAACAGGTCAAGATTGACTTCGAGAATAACTAGCTGAAAAGAAAAGGCAACATTCTTTAATTACTTGTTGAGATAGAAAATTAATGCAGTTGATTTAAATAAGCCCATTATCGAATCTTTAAATTCTCAAAAAAAAGAGAAAACGCAAAGATTCTCATCAATCTCTGTATCACAGCATTGTCTATCATGGAAACATAGTTTGGGGGGGTGTGAACCCAAATTTTTTTCTACATTTTAATCATACAAAAGAAAAAATGTGGGGGGGGGGGGGGGGTGACCTGTAACTCTGAACCTATTGAGATCTTTGCATACCTCCTATCAAAGAACTGATACAAAAGATAAACATCTTCCACCCCGGGGGGATCTGAATATGGCAGTATCTTTTTGTCTCTCAAAAGATTCGAAGGTTGCTTTTCTTCATTTTCAAATGAGATACCTGGAACTGATATCCGGCACGCTGTTTGCACAAACTTCAGTGATCTTTGAAATGGTATGACCCTTCTCACTCTGCTTAGATTTTTTCTGTTTCTGCGGATTGATTGAAAACTATCTGTCGACAAGGTAGAAAATTAATTAAGGCCAATCTACACAGCACAGTCACCATATACACAGAAGAATCCTGTTAAAGGTTGCACGGAGTGCTAATAAACACAGTGGAACTTACCTGTTAATAACATCCCTAGCAGCTCTCTTGAACCTCTGAACATCTACAGGTTCAGATGATATTGGATTAATTAAAGCTTTATGAAAGAAACCAAATTCCAGTTTCATTGCAGCCAGTGTTACAACAAAAAGCCTAAACCCCACCAAACTTCACTCTGGGGCAGACATCCCAAAAGAAAGTAGAATTAGAGCTTATTTTGAGCACCAGTCCCGATTTTCCCCCACTGTTGTCACTACTTATTATTAATTGTATGCATTATGCACTTTAGAATGTACAGTATACATGTAAAACTGTAACTTATAGGTCTCACAAATAAAGATTTCAGAGCGTCTACAATTAGCAAAATGTCCTAACTCTAAGTTCTTTCAATAAACACATACATTAAATAAAAAAAATAAAATAAATAAAAAAAAGATTCTTCCTCGTGTGCACATGGTCATTGGCTGAGGGAGATTTATTGAAACGACAAAATAATTTCAAGTGTCAGCCTTTAGCATCGTACTTGAGCTTCAGTACCATATTAATATATTATCATCTGATAGCATATTTGGATTCCAGAAATACCAACTTATTATAGACTTTCAATCCAAATTTCAAATTGAAACTTGAACGGACATGGCCACATTTCAATTCGCTTTGTGCACTTTTTTTTTTAATATAAAAAGTCACGTACTTTCGTGATTCACATACAATGTATCCTCATCCCTAAAAACCTTGGACTAATATAAATCATACACAAGTAAATTGTTCTATAACCCAAGTTACCAAACCCAAATTTGTTGACTTAAGCAGCCTTTACAATAACACGATCACAGTTTTCGTGCATACAGATATATACATATATAGGGAGAAAAAACTTACCGACATCGCCAGAGCCATTTGATTCTTCGTTCGGTTCTTTTCACTTATATCTTGGTTCCTCTAAAATTTTATTTTCTGTTTCGTATAGTTCATTATATGGCGGAAACAAGAATCTGAAGATCAGCAATTTGCATTTTTAAACAAATTATTGATTGGGATGGAGCGTAAAGATTTAAGAATGGGAATTGAGCGTATTGTTCTTCCACGTTGCACAATTTGCACCGGTCAAATTCCACCGCAGCTCAAACACAACTGCTGGATGGATGAATTAATTTTTATTTTTCTGTTTTTAAATTTGTTTTGCATACGATAAAAAAAAATGAGGCTGCTATTCCATTCCATTATTCATTACAAAAAGGTATTTATCTTTCCTTTGAAAAGTATATTTGTTTGATTTTAGATTCAAAAAAGTCAAACGGCTGGTCCACATAATTCTAAGCTAGTTGGACAAGTAAAAATATAGCCTCGGTTTGCCCGTTGATTTTCATTTCATTTCATTACATTTTATTTTTTTTATTTTTAACTACACAATCTTCTATAAAATAATATTATACATAAATCAAAAATTTTTACTTCTTTTTCAACCACTTATTTTAATAAAAAAAATTTATTCTACCCATTTTATTTCTACAAAATGGGAGCCAAACAAGGGGCATAATCGAGTCATGGTGGATCGAAGGGACTAGGCTTAAGGTGAATTTTCAAGCTTGATTTTTAATTATACGAGGTGGATTATATTTATACCATGAATTATAATTTTTGGACAAAATGATGACAAGCTTCTTGTTGGGGCATTCTCACAAAATGGGTGGATGATACTTGAGCATACTCAAAATGGGAAGGTGAAAATGATAACAATACCTATGCCCCCGTTTGGCTTCCATTTTTTTTAAATTAAAATGGGTGGAATACTATTTTTTTAAAATGAGTGATTTCAAAAGAAAGAAAATATTTTGATTTACGTGAATATTATTTTGTAGAAGATTCTGTAATTGAAAATATCAGAGAAAAAAATGAAATGTAATTTAACTGGAATGAAACGGGGGCATACATCACCATAAAGTGGTGACAATACTCCATATCACCATTCAAGGGTCATTTCAAACTTGAAAGACACAAGTTTAACACGATCAGATTTATTCCTTTAACTTTACCTTCTACAATTTATACGCGTTGCTCTCTCCCCATTGTGGAACTAGTTTTAAATCCTCAACTATGTATAATGAGTCTTGGACTTTTGAAAGGCTTCTCGAACTCGTGGATCAATCGAACCTTTGACAAATCTTAAATATTCATGCAGTGCGATTTAGTCCAAAAAAAAAAGGAGTCCATTTAACATGACTTTTGCTTTCTACATGGAAGTTTTTAAAGAAAGCTACCTTCATTTTTGTTAGAAAGTTAATTTTTAAAAGCGTTTTCTAATATAAAAGTGCTTCTAGAAAAACTTACATTGAATCAACTTTCTCTAAAAACATTTCTGATTAGATTAAGAACTTTTATAAAATTAAAAAGGGTGAAAAAGCAGTTTTTGAATTTTAAAAGTTTATTTTGACTTCTCAAAAACTATGCCAAACGGAGCATATTGTACCCCACACCATAAAACAATTTCGAATAATTATATTTGTACATCCAAAGATGTACCGAACTGTTTATCCACTCTGACATGCACGTGGAACACATGTATATAAAAAAATTTCAAACGTGATCCCCACGTTCTTATTGTGAGTAGTCGGTAAGAGATTAAGTAAAAAAAAAAAAAAATCGATATATATATAAGAAGGTCCAATAATTTCTCCATCTCACTTTAATTTTGTGTATCGTATAAAATATTTTTATTTTTTATTATATGAAAATATAGAACAAACTATCATATAAAAACTAGTTAACAAAGAGAGAAAAATAAACAATGGTTATTCAAAGAAAAATATTTATTTAATTATTTTGATCATGATGTTCAAACTTGTACATTATTATGCGCGTGTTTGGTTCGGATTAAAATCTAATTTTAATTTAAATCAAAGTCAAATAATTAATATTAATCATATTTTTCATGGATCCCACAACTTTTCAACCACATATTTCAAAAATTTCTATCACAATCTACTAAAAATTCTAATTTTAATCCACATTAAACACCTGTTATATAAGTTTGACACGATCCAATTCATACCTCTAGTTCACGTTACCGGATCATTGGGGGCGTGGGGGATGGGGGCATGTGGCCCGAGATAAGAGGCTTATCCAAGAAAACAAATTAAAAAAAAAAAAAAACAATAGTTATTCAAAGAAAATATTTTGACCAGTCAATCTGTGGCACTTTTGCATGAATTATCGAGCCTGTTTGGGAGTAATTTTGAGAATTAATTTTTTCACTGTTAGGAGAAAAGTGGGGTCCACCTATAAAAGAAGAAGTCAAATATAACGATTGGAATATTGAAATAAGGGTCAAAAAATCAATTTTCTGGATCAAAAAATCACTTCCAAAGAGGCTGATAAAGTGGCTTTGGAAAGTAGAAGTTCTACTGTCAACTTTTGATGAGATTGAAGCCCTTTTAGTATTTGGGTTTCTCTCCTTGCACAGAATCCTGTGCACAGGGTGTGCACAGGGTGTGAGACATGGGGTGGGCCCCACAAACATGTGGGGCCCACCCCATGTCTCACACCCTGTGCACACCCTGTGCACAGGGTTCTGTGCAAATAGCACGGCCCTAGTATTTTGTTACTAAACCCCTTGTTAGGTCCACTATTTTTAAAATATATTATTTTAATAGTACATTTTTTAATAAAATAATATTAAACGTAAATTCAAAACTTGTTCTTATTTTTTAATTATATAGTCTCTATCAAAATATTATTCCAAAATACATTTTGGATTAAAAAAATTAAAAAATTGAACTCGAACAACCTCCAAATTTCTTTTTTTGTTTTTATTTTATGTGAAATATTAACTTTGAAGAATTTTATGCTTACGAAATAATTAATTTGAAAAGTGTCAAAATTTCATGATTATTTAAGCACAGTTTGGTGCAAATCTAAGACATCTCCCCCTAGAACCCAATCATGATAGGCTCAACGGGAGATGCTTGTGTTTTCTTGCCCTATTTTTAACTCAATGAGTTTCGTAATTATGTGAATAAAATTAATATTAATTTTAATTTGAAATATAAATTTATGACTTGTTTGAGACCCTTTTTTCAATCAAAATGTATTTTTGAATAGTAATTTAAACACATTTCAATCACTTATTCTTCAATAAGATAATATTACACGTAAATTCAATTTTTTTTTTTTAAGCCCACGTTCTCTATCGTAATATGCATTTTTTGAAAAAAAGTTTGTGCTCAAACAAACCATTAATGGTGATTCTTTGACTCTTAATTGTAACTTAGCTCTCGTTTGAGCCCCATTATTTATAGATTATAATTAGATGAATATCATTTTTTTTGAAAAATAAGTAGTTGAAAGTTTTTAATTTACGTGTAATATTATTTTATTAAAAATTGTGTGTTAAAATTAGGAGAAAAAATTTTAATTTAATGTAATGAAAAATAATAGAGCTCAAACGGGGCCTAACAGGTAAATGTTGCTTTTTTAAGGGGGTGTTTGGAAGTTATTTTTATGTAAAAATGCATTTTAGAATAGTAACTTGGAAAGTGTGCATTTGAAAAATAAAAAAATTTTAATTTACGTGTAATATTATTTTAATAAAGAATGTATGATTGAAAAGAAGATAGATGTTTTTTGAAAAAAAAAAAAAGGATACCAAAGCAAGTTGCAAGAAGTTTCCATGGAATAGTATTTCGATTTTGACATACTATTATTATATTATATGCAGAGTCAGCAGCAGCTCCATTTTTAATCGATACCTTTCTGCAAGTATTTTAATGGGGATTCTTTGACTCTTAATGCAGTAGACTTCCAATGGCTGGGGAGGCAAGGTATACGCAATGTAATTAAGGTATCAGCATACAAGAAAAGTTAAGAACATGTGTAGATCAAAGCTACCTTTATTCTCGTGTTAGAATACCTTCAAAAGAATCCAAAAGTAGCAGATATTCAAGTCTATAAAGACAGACTAGCCTTATGTTTTTTTCGCAGAAATTAACATAGTTTTGGGGTCGGAGATAGAAAAAGGGATGGGGAAAGTGAAGCAGATTTTGATTATGATTTTTATTTTACTGGCTGTATCAGGTGCAAGTTCTGTCGATCAGCTGCATAAATGGAGAAAATCAATGTCCTCTGGAGCTTCTTCTTCATCAGGGGTCAGTAGAGTTGGGTCATCTGTCATATTCCAACTATATGGCAATGTTTATCCCAATGGGTATGCAAATTTTACTCTTATGTAATCAACGTTTGCATTCAAATTTTTCTTTCTTTTTTTTTTTTTTTCCTCCCCTGTTTGAGGGCTGTGTTATTGTGTACTCAAAAGAAAGAAAAGGGGAAATTTGTTAATTGAGAGTGACGTGCATAAATGGATGGATTAAATGAAGTTCTCTTGATTTATATGGATAAGTATTAATTTCTGCAAGTTGTGGAACAACTACTTGTGTTGGGATTTCAATTGACTGCAGTGTCTCCTGCAGGTTTTATTTTGTGCAAGTTTTCGTGGGACATCCTCCAAGACCCTACTTTCTTGATCCCGATACAGGCAGTGATCTAACGTGGCTTCAATGTGATGCGCCTTGCGTCCGTTGCACGAAGGTAAAGATTGGTTGTCATGATTCTGCTTCATTTTAGTATATAGCTATTCTGATGAATGATACAATGTTTGAAATTAGATTTTATGACTTCATGTATCAGTCCCGATCTCCTGCCCCCGGTGGAATTTAGGTTCTCTTGCTACATGAGCAGTAGGAAGTTTTTCCACTGGGGCAGGAGATCAATTCTACTTCATGTATTTTAAGGGTAAGGCTAAAAGTGGTGATAAGATAACAAAATGGGAAACTTTTGGAGAAAAAAGAGGGATCGGAGAAGTGATCAGAAATCATAGTTCAGTTACCATGGATAAGATAATTTGGTTGCTTGACTTGCTTCTATGTGTTAGTTAAATCAAGAACTTAATATTTGTTTTAGAGTCTAGACAGATCAGTTAAGAGATGATCTTAGTGGTTCTTTGGAATTTATAGCAAGTGAAAACAATACTGTGGCAGATTGAAACTTTGAAATTCCTTTTGACTGATTGTCATGACAGTTCAATGATTTGGTATTTCTTAATTCTGGGGATAAAATCCTCATGCATTACTGAAACTATCTGTTAAAATTTCAACCTCACTTCAAAAGTAGTTCAGAAAGTTGTTTTTTTTTTTTTTTTTTTAACTATAGAATGTTCATCTTTGGTAGTTTTAGATAAAAGTATTTTGATGAATATCAGAGGGTGTTATTAATCTGTATATGTATATTCATTTGAATCTGTTGTACAGCATCACGGAGGGACAAATTCCTCATCCCAATATTTCCATTTTGTGTAGGGGTTTCATCCGCTTTACCGGCCCACTAATGACCTTGTAGTATGTAGAGATCCCCTTTGTGCATCTTTGCACTCGAGTGATTATAGATGTGATGACAACCCAGAACAATGTGATTATATGGTCGAGTATGCAGATGGAGGTTCCTCCCTTGGTGTACTCGTCAACGATTTGTTTACCCTCAATCTTACCAGTGGAGTTCGAATTTTTCCTCGTCTGACTCTCGGGTTGGTAGTCTTTCTTTTTCTATTAATTTGATCTACTTTCACTTATATTGCCCTTCTCCGCATGGTGTTGGAGTACGATGTTCTCTCATTTGATCTCAAAAGCCTTTTAAGTTGAAATTTAGTTCTCAATTCTCATAACCTTCTATTATTTTGAATGCCTTGTTCAGATTTCTCTTTTTCAATTGAAAGATCCTGTATCGACGTGCCTATTACGTACAGAGATTATTCTCCAATGTCATATTTTAATGTGGATCCTTTACGCAGATGTGGGTATGATCAGCTACCTGGTGTATCTGATCATCCCTTAGACGGAGTACTTGGTCTTGGCAAAGGAAAATCCAGCATTGTTTCTCAACTTAGTGATCAACGAGTTGTCAAAAATGTTGTCGGCCAATGTTTAAGTGGCAAAGGAGGGTACCTTTTCCTTGGGGAAGATGTTTATGATTCTTCACGCATAACATGGACACCAATGTCGCGTGATCACACGTATTCTTCTCTCCCTTTTCATCCTTCGCTCCCCCCACCAACCCATACCCACGTACACAGATATGCTTGCGATATTTTGTTCTTCTTTTGTACAGTTTGGAAATAATTTTCTAGTTCTAATAGAGTATCTCAATTGATAATTGGTGACAGAAAGCACTACGCAGCTGGAAGTGCAGAATTTTTTTTCGATGGGAAAAGTACTGGGATTAAGAATCTTAATGTGATCTTCGACAGTGGGAGCTCTTACACATACTTTAATTCTCAGATTTACCATTCTCTAATTTCTTCGGTGAGTTGAAATTTTCTTTCTTACCACTCCTAAAGTTTCACTTCCAGTAACAAAATCACAATCCTAGCAAGTCCATGCACTCTTGTCGATCAAGAAGTGTTGGTTATATCAGTTCCATTTTGAATTCTGCAATAGATATAATTTTTTTTTTAAAGCATATCTCCTAATAACATATCATTTATCTCGGATATCTCACATATTAAACATCATATTTCCTATGTGGCACGATTTTGTAGATAAAGAAAGGATTAAGTAGGAAGCTGAGAGAAGCAACTGATGACCGTACTCTTCCGTTCTGCTGGAAAAGAGAGAAACCTTTTGAAAGTATCCGCGATGTCAATAAATACTTCAAGCCTCTAGCATTGAGATTTCCCAATGGCAGGAAAGCCAAACCCCAGTTTGAAATTCCCCCCGAAGCATATCTTATTATATCAGTAAGAACTTGAACATAATATTTGTTACTTTTTGCCACTTGAAAATTTCTGTTTGTTTGCTGATACTTGTCTTGTGCAGTCAAAGGGCAATGCTTGTTTGGGAATTCTGAATGGCACTGACATAGGGTTGGATAATTTGAACATGATTGGAGGTAACTCATAGGGCATTTCTGCCCAACCTTGAAAATTATAAAGTTTACTTATGAATAAATAAGTTTCAAAATAAATAAGTATTTTTGTTGATCAAAGTTTGAAAGGTTCACACTACAAAATTCTCTCATCCGATGCAGATATTTCAATGCAAAATAAAATGTTGATTTATGACAATGAGAAGCAAGCAATAGGTTGGACTGCTGCAAATTGTGATCAGCCTCCAAGTTCGAATCGAGCAACATTGTAATCAGGATTAGGACCTCTTTTCTTTTCCCTTTTGACTCATGTATACATACTTGTAACTCTATTAAGTAATTTAATATAGAACAATAATCACTGGAGGGAAGAGAAAGCAATAATGTACAGTACCTTGTACTATGTTACTGATGTTCTTAATAGTCTAAACAGCACTTAATGCTGGAACCATATTTCTATCGATTGGTTTTAAAGTTCCAATCTACTATTACCAGATAATGAAAAGTTGAGTTACACTTACAAATCAGTAGGCGATAAACTTTTCAGTAAACTTTTCAGAATTCTTCGATGATAAATTTCATTCTCTAATTCGAGGATGTCAATGTCGTATATTGCGTTACTCAAAAAACTAATGAAAAAGGTCAAAAATTCTTGATCATGGCCTAACTTTCTAACTGATGAAGAGTTTTGGATGGGTAGTACAATAGAAAATAGCTAATTCTATGACTCGCTGTTGCAGATTATGTGTTCTTTTCATGATAACCATTAGAAAATAGCTAATTCTAGGACTCATTGTTGCAGATTATGTGTTCTATTCATGATAACCATGCCAGTCTAGTTTATGACAAAAAATCTTGACATAACTACAAATATATTTGAGAGAACAAATCTCATTCTCTTGTTCCATACAAGAATGCTACATTTTAACCATAAAAAGCAAGGAAAGAACAAAAAAATGAGCACTGCATTCTGAACATATAAGAATGCCCTACTCTACATCAGTCTATTCATCACCGCCCAAAAGATCACGATCAAGTCTGAATTCAACATCGTCAACGGACAGAGAAAATCTCTGATTTCCTTCTTGGACTCTGACCGTCTTTATCAAGCCCATCAAATTTGACCAGCTGATTTTCTTGTTCCTAGTATTAGCATAGCATCCAAGATTTTCCAGTCCCTAGTAGCCCTTCTTTTTTAATTTTTTTTGTGGGGGAATAATGGATTTACATGGCTACCTACACATAATAATCTTACCATGATGATGAGGTCCAATTGAAATTAAAAGGGCTTTTGCATGTATGTGAACATATCTTGAAACAGAGAGAGCTGATCATTATACTGCAGTTGGGTGCTAAAATGGTCATCTTGAAAATCATCCATGTAGTTGAGCTGATTATCAAGGGATTGTTCAAACTCAATCCACTTGGGCGCACTTTGAACTTCAGGCGATAGCACGTGCTCGGAACTACTTGAATCTGTGTGCAACTTGGGAACTGACTCTGATGGGTCGAAATGCATATAGTCATTCTGGTTCATAATCTGCGGTGCCATAGGCTGTGGTGGTTGAACCTGTTGAGCTGATTTTACTATATTATATTGCAAAGAGTCGATGTTCGGCTTCTGTTCTTCGCTGTCTGAAAATTCCACCATCTTCTGATGGACATTGTAATGCTTCTCGAGAGTGCCTTTCTTGTTGTATATTCGACATAACACCCAATCATCAAGCTGAAATAGCCCAAAATGACACCGTTAATGCAATAAAAGATGTTACATACAAGATAAGCTATAAATATTTTCAGAAGAATTCCACAACTAAAGTATACTTGCTTCAAATAACTGCTAAATCAAAACTTCCAATCAAAAAGAAGCAAATGGAACACTTGCATAAAATTCAAGTAGAATCAAGAATGAAGTTTTTATATTAGTTAGATCTGGGGGTGGATTCTGGAATCTACACAGTGCTGAACTAGGAGTAGCAAACACAAAAGGCAAAAGGGATTAAGGATACTAGATAACTAGAACACAGGCTTATCCAAACAATTACTTCAAGTGATTAGGTTTCATTGGTCAAAATATATTTCTTGAGAACATAAATAGAACAAGATCATAAACAAGTGAACTGTTCTTCTTAATCTTAAAATAAGTGAATAAGTAAGTACCCTCAAATTGTTTCTCTTGCCAGCGGACCGGTCCACATTAGCTAGGCGATACTCGTGCATAATCCAATTAGTTTTGACTCCTCTAGGAGCTTTTCCGGCATAGAACACCAGAGCCTTCTTTATTCCCAGAGTTTTCGGCTTCCCCACCGGCTTGTCGGCTCCGGTGGCTTTCCAGTACCCGGCTCCTGCTGATCGGTTAGGCCGGGATCCATTCGGGTACTTCCTGTCTCTTGGAGAAAAGAAGTACCACTCTTTTTCACCATACAAAGCCATAGCTGTAACAATCAAACAATAATCAATAAACCATTGTGCTCAATCAGGCTAGAAATGGAAAAAAAATTACAAGTGACCAACAAAAAGAAACCCAGAAAGAAAATAAACTTACCAGGAAGATCCCAAGGATCAAACTTATAGAGATCAAGCTCCGCTATAATAGGAACAGAAATTGTCTGGCCGGCGCATTTCCGGCAGAGATAATGCAGCACAAGCTCGTCATCGGTCGGATGGAACCTGAACCCTGCCGGCAAATTCAACTGCTGATCACTCTTCATTCAGTAGTTTATTCTCTTGAGCAAAAGTTAATCAAATGAACAAATACTTGAATATCTTCCAAGTTGCAAAGGCTGCTTGGTTTTGAATTGGAACAAAGAAAATGGCACCATAGAATTGTATATATACATGGGAGTTCCCTATATGCACGTGGGACATTGAATCTATTTTCAACACAATAATAAAAGCTTCGTTTTCTTATGGGGTCCAGTTGAATTAGCTGGTCGCAGGTAAGAATTATCGGTTCAATCGTGCGAGGCCACGTAGGAGAATAGTCCCCACGTGTGGGTGATTGTGTCACTGCTTTCGTCATCAACATTGGAATCTTGTGAAAGTCGGCTGCTGGATTATTTTTGGGTCAATTGGTGGACTCTGAATAAACTCAATGTGAATTCCAGTTGGCGTCTAGAGAATATTTGGCTAATTGCATTACTTACTCCCTTGAAAAGCAACTTTTTTTCCAGTTGCCTGTTTTAAGTTAAACTTAAGATACAAAAAAGGAGATTATTTTGAAGATAAATCTACTTTTTTTTTCCTTTTATCTTTTAACATTAAGGTTTGCAACAATCAAATTAAGGAAAAAGAAAAAGGTAAGGAGAGTGTCAACACAATAGTCTACCTAATATGTTGTCGTGTTATGAACTTATGACGTACTTAAAATTCAAAAGACGTTACAATTATCTACATTATTAGTAGCAATGATAATTGAGCAGATATGACTCTTTTACCTAACCCAACAAATTTATCTTATTATAAAGACAAGACCAAAATATTAAGTAAAAAGTATAAAAACTACAAACGATGTCAAGAGAATACAATAAAATTTAAGCATCAAAGTGTTATCGTCCATTTACCGCCTTATATATTCAGTATCTAAGCAGTTTCATTGCCAAGTTGTCAATGGGATAAAAACATCACTGCCCTTGTGTTCTTGGTCGCATGAATCTATTTTATTTTATTTATTTATTTATTTGTGTAAATAGCATCAATAGATTGAAATTTTCTTTTACATCCATATACCCAAGATGGGTTAATTTGAATGTTCTATTGACTAGTCTATGAAGCGGTTGACACGGGAGAAATGAACTTCTTTTTGACGAGGATTATATTTACAAGTTTGCATCCTACGTACATAGCTTGATGTTAGCTCATTTATACAGTTCTTATTTAGGGTTCGTAGATTTTTTGAGAATAAATTTATGAGAAGTGATTCTTTTGAAAAATACGCGAATAAAAATAAAAATAAGTTATGAATTCGTGCGTAAAATTATTTAACGGAAGAGTATATGATTGAATTTGTGTTTGGAAAAAAAAAATGAATTTAATCTTTATGAAATAGATGCTTAACAAGGACCTCTATTGTGATTTGTTTTTTATTTGCAGTGCACATGAGCTCAAAAGTTTTCTATTTTTGGATTCAAAAGAGATATCAAGTACCTCTGTGAAATAACAAAGCATTGACGGTTGAACACTTGCCTTTGCAAGAAAATGTGGTTGTGAATCGTCTATTCAAATCTTATCCTCCAAAATAAGAATGTGTATATATATTATTTCTTTAATAATTATGTTGAAAATTTAAGCCCTTGTTTTTGACAACCATTCTTCCTCATTTATTTTATTTCATACTCATTTTCAATCACACATTTTTACAATAAAATATTCTCGACGTAAGCCCAATTTTTTTTTTTTTTTTTTTTAGTCCGGCACTATCCCAAAATTTACTATTCAAAAACTCAATTTATTTCCAGAAAAAAATTCTGTCAAACAGAGACTAAAATTATTAAAGAGAGAACAAGCGTCATTCAATATGAAAGTTCTCTTAACTTAATTAAAATATTTGAAGCCCTTGTTTGAGTCACATTATTTTCATAAGAATTCATTTTTAAATAGTGCATTGATGAAAAATGTGCGGCTAAAAAATAAAAAATATTTATGGATCTGCGTGTAATATTATTTTATTGAAAATTGTGTAGTTGAAATAATGTCAAATAACTGTTTAAGAATGTATTTTTTTGAAAATAACATGGATCAAATAGAGCCTAACCGTAATGCAATCATTGACTTAAGTATTATATTCGAATCAAAACGTGGATCAAACAGAGCCTAACCGTAATGCGATCATTGACTTAAGTATTATAATCGAATCAAGCATCTCTTCTACTTCGTAGATCTTTAGGTGTAATTAATTATGTAATTTCAAAATAAGTTCACAATACTTTCTGACTCTACTCACGATATATATCAATTTCTACCTAATCATCCTTTGACTTGAAGCGTGATTAGCAAGCTGATGATGCATTGGCATTAGGGCAGTGACGTGCTCAATGACCTTACCCAGATAATGATGTGTGCAAACTTGGAAGCTGCTAGGTTACTTCGTGAGTAAGACCAGACCGGATGTCTCTGCCTTTGAATCGCAACTTTCTAGATATCTTTTTGTATTTTCATACGTGCCTCGATGGAAATATAGATCTTAGTCCATGTTTGACAACTAATTTTATAAAGAGTAATACTATTTAGTATCATCAGTGTTAAAACGTACCAGTTTGGATGACAGTAATATGACATTAAATGAGATGTATAATTAAATGAATCATTTTAATTTTACCTCTCATTAAGTTTATCATTTAACGCTATCAAAATTGGTGTTGTAGCACCACATGTACTAGATAATATTATTCTTTTATAATTTTTTCTAAATTCATTTTCAACCACATATTCTCACAATAAAATATTTTGTACGTAAATTAAAAAAAAATTCTACTTTTTAATCACATGTTTGCCAAAAAAATCACTACTCCGAAACTCGTCTTCTCAAATAATAATAATAATAATAATAAAATAATGGTTGTCGAATAGGGGCATCTTAATTTGATGTGACTAATTTCAAGAAGTGTATTATGAAATTATGTCTGATGTTAAAATGTGTGTTTAAAAAAGAAGATTTTTTTTTTAAATTTGTGTAATACTAATTTAATGAAGAATGTGTGGTTGAAAATAAGTATTTTAGAAAAAATAATATGATAGAATGATTCACAAACAAAGGATAAAAAAATTAAATGAATTAAAGAAAAAAGAAATGAATATTTTTATTAAGAGCTTGTTTGGTAGGGATTTTAAGAATTGATTTTCTAACCTTTAGAAATAAAGTGAATCCTATATGTGAGAGAAGAATTCAAAAATGACAGCAAGAATAGTGAAATAACGCTCAAAAAAATAATTTTAATTGGTTTAAGGTTTTTTAATAATAAAGAAGACAGTTGCTGCCTTTTATTGAATAATAAAATCGACCATTTTTATGTTTCAATAATAAAAATTTAAAAAAACCAAAAGAAGAAGACGACAGTGACATGAAAGTGAACCTGGCTGAAAAATCAACTTTCATGTAGAAAATGGTCAGATTAGGTGATAACTGAAAAGAGCAATCTCATTGCTGCTACTATTTGGCAATGATACCTCCCTCGAATGATTCCTATTTTCCTGGGAATTAAGGGAGGCCTATGTTGAAGGAATAATAATTGTTCTATAATAACTTAATATTAATTTGATTTTTCTGAATTAATTTAGCCCATATTCAATTTAGAAAAGAATTAAATTTTAATAAAAATTAATGAAATGTAAAGTTGAAACGTTGTGAAAACTATAAAATGTATGACTAAAATTAATTGTTGACTATAAATTGAATTTTAATTCACTTTTTTTTTTTTTTTTTTTTTTTTGGGGAAAAAC